GAAGGGGGAGAGAGAAGGGGGGGAGAGAGACTGGGGGGGAAGAGAGAGAATGGGGGGAGAGAGAGACTGGGGGGAAGAGAGAGAATGGGGGGAGAGAGAGAGACTGGGGGGGAAGAGAGAGAACGGGGGGAGAGAGAGAGACTGCCCCCCCGCGAGTATCGCGGGTCCCCCCCTTGTATATCCTAATACAGAGAATCTTCCAGTACAAATCATAACCCTTCACCTAATAATTAGACCGTTTACAATTTTTTTAAACCAAATATAAACTCACGACCAATAATTATCAAACAAATTATCATTTTTATCTTGAATAATGAAAGTTAGTTTCTCCATTTCTGCAACTTCTAGTAATTTATAAATAAAATCTTCTTTTGTTGGTATATTTTCATTTTTCCAAACGTTTGCATACAAAATCCTTGCAGCTGTCAATATTTGCATAAATAAACCCCCTAAGTTTGTATTCGGAGGAGTCGTGCATGCCATAGCCTGACGGACATACGGACAGGAAGACAGGTAGATCTTTTCATTATTTAAAATAAACGACAGACATTCCTATGGTCAGTAAGAACATGGCAAAGCCTAATATGTGAAGAATCCCATGAGCATATGAAAATGTTTTGGTGGACAACACTGAAATTATTGTAAAAAAAAAGTGTGAAAAGTATAGGAAAAAATCACACCATGTGTTCGCAATAAGGATGTGCATTTGGGTATATCTGATCCAAATATACATTTGAAAAATACCTTATTGGCATGTTCCAGATCTATTCAGGTCTCTTGGAGGTATTGAGAATTTTCTGGGATACCAGGGAGTGGATCCCTAATAGTCCTGAATCCTGGAAATATTCAGGATAAGCTAAAAATATCGGGAGGCAGCATTTGAAGGCTCCCAGGACGACCACCACCCCTGATTTGTGGTTCCTTGACTTCTTTGTCTTGTTACTGCTTTGCTGTGTTGGTTTCATTTTAGCCTATTCTTTTTAAATAGGTCTCATTGGTTTTGCGACATTTGTATTCTTAGCACAAGATGGTTTCTGTTGGGTTTGCCGTTTGGAGTGGATTCTTGTGTTTGTCATTGCCTTTGATTCTTCGCTTGTACATGGCAGAGATGACCTGGCTTTACATTTCCCCTCCAACCCACATCACTGATTCTTGTATTTTATGCACAATTCTCTTTCCCTTGAGGTGCACAGGTGCCACACAATGAATCTTTCAGGAACCTCTCTGCTCAACACCCCGTGCCTGTCCTTTCATCAGACACCCCAGTGAATCCTTCCCCGCTGCAGGGTGTAGTGCAGCCCTGGCTCTTCTCTCTTACACTGCTTATGAACTGTGGCCGCAGTCACACGGCAAAGTTGCCATGGGAGAGGCACGGGAGTCCCGCGGATTTTCCGGGCGTGATCTCACCCCAACATCTGGGAAGCGCAGTGCTCCCGTGGCTCCTCGCTGAAGGCGCGGAGTTAAAAACTAGTACCTACGAGGTACTAGTTCCTTGAAACTGCGGGCCAACGGCAGGCATCTGATCGTGTTCCCGGTGGACTTACGTGGCATCCGGCGCCTGCTGCTGTTTGTCTCCGCGCCCAACAGCGCATGCGCACAAAGAGCGATTGCTAGTGCGATCGCGCGGCGTGGCTTCTGTGCCGCGCTGCAGGATACCCGTCTGATTGGCATTTCCCCTGAACCATGGAACGTCGACCGGGACGTGTGCTCGGGCGCCCACGCCTTAGTTTCCTCCGGGGCAATTAGCCACGCCTCCCCCCGCGATATCCGGCCCGTGTGACCGGGGCCTGTGCTCACTTATTTGCCCTGACCTGGATGGGCCAGGCTAGCCCAATCTTGTCAGCTCCTGGAAGCCAAGCAGGGTCAGCCCTGGTTAGTGTTTGGATGGGAGACCTTGAAGGAAGTCCAGGGTTGCGATGTGGAGGCAGGCGACCCGGTAGGATCTTCAAGGCAAGAGGTGGTTTGCCTTGCCCTGCCTTCATGCCATAACCTGGTCTTCCTTGGTCTGTGCTGGAACACATGAAAGCTATTCTTAAAGACATGCCATTTGAGCCTAAACTGAGAAAGAAGTAGGCCAAGGGTCTAACCAAAGAAGAACCACACTTTTTGTAACCCCTAATTCGGGGAACTCCTTGTGTGTCCCAACTCAGGGCAGTTGGTGGTTTAGGTACCCAAGAGGAGAAGGTCGCAAGAGCAGGTTAGGGAAGGCTTCCTATAGTTGTTCAAGAGGCAGGTCCGGAAACGGGGAAGGATTAGCCCAGCGTGGTTGTGACACGTCCGCTGTGGGAAGCTTCTCGTGAAAGCCTGGACCTGTTGGGCAATGTTCCCTCTAAGCTGTGGAATCTTGTGAGCAAAAGTGCTACTTTGTGAGCCTACTGGCATTAGAGTTGTGAGCGAGCGATTGGGCTCCTGCATAAATTAGTTTGCTCTGGAACCATCCCTTCCTGAGTGAAGACAAAAATGTGTGAGCTGGAAGCTAAAAAACTGTGAGC